TATCGATTTGCTGAGCATCCTTCTCAGATGTAATGGTTTCGCAGGGATTCAGAAAGCTGTAGTGGATCAGACCACCAAACAGTGACCATGACCCTTTTTTGGTGCAAGTTTGGCTTTGGGAAGTGCTTTGGAGATTCTTCTTGGTCTAACCACTGAGCTGGTCATTGCCAGTTGTCATATAAAATCCACTTTTCATCACAGTCACAATCCGATCGAGAAATGGTTCATTGTTGTTGTGTACAAGAAGAGAAGACGACACTTCAAACCAATGATTTTTTTGATTTTTGGTCAGCTCATGAAGCACCCACTTATTGAGCTTTTTCACCTTTCCAATTTGCTTCAAATGATGAACAACCGTAGAATGGTCGATGACGAGTCCTTTGGCAACTTCTTGTGTAGTGTAAGAGGATCAGCTTCGATGATTGCTCTCAATTGGCTGTTGTCAACTTCCAATGGCTGGCCACCGTGCTCCTCATCTTCAAGGCTCTCATCTCCTTTGCAAAACTTCCTGAACCACCACTGCACTGTATGTTCATTAGCAGTTCCTGGACCAAATGAGTTGCTTTTTTTTGAGACAGAGTCTCTCTCTGTTGCCTGGGCTAGAGTGCCGTGGCTTCAGCCTCGCTCATGGCAACCTCAAACTCGTGGGCTCAAGCGATCCTACTGCCTCAGACTCCCAAGTAGCTGGGACTACAGGAATGGACCACCATGCCTGGCTAATTTTTTCTATATATATATATTTAGTTGTCCGGATAATTTCTTTCTATTTTTAGTAGAGACGGGATCTCACTCTTGCTCAGGCTGGTCTCGAACTCCTGACCCTGAGCGATCCACCCACCTCAGCCTCCCAGAGCACTAGGATTACAGGCGTGAGCCACCGCGCCCAGCCCCAAATGCGTTGTTGATGTTGCGAGTTGTCTCTGTTGCTTCAACCCATTTTGAACTCAAATAAGAAAATTGCTTGAGTTTGCTTTTTGTCTAACATCATTTCCATAGTCTAAAATAAGTATAAAATGAACAGCAAGTAATAAGTCATCAGCAAAAAAACATAAAGTGAGAAGTGCACATTAAAATGATGTATAACATAACCACATTTATTTAAGAATGTATTCCCATATCAAATGGCAAATTTAACAAAGCTAAAACCGCAATTACTTTGCATCAACCTAGTAAGTTGATCAGTTGACCTGATTCTCATAAGAATTAATCTGAAACAACACCACCACCTGGTGGGTTCTCTTCATATATAACAACTAAGAGATGATAGTTTCCCTTCTATCAAATTAGGACCAGTTGTTAAATTATGACTATTTAATAATATTGCAGAATCTATGTTTAAGTTAAGAATTAAACTAGTATTTATGGCATTGGCCTCAAAAACTTATCAAATATTTGTTTAGTGCCCTTGTGCAAAACAAAATAGTGAACAAAATAGAAAAAATACTTGCATTCATAGATCTTACGTTCTAGTGAATGTAAGACAATAAATAACCACAATAAGTAAGTAAATTATAATATGTTTGGTGAGAAGCTGTATTAAAAAATCAGGATATATCGAGCAGAGTCCTATGGATGGAAACAGGAAAAAAAAGTCAGGATAAGAGGGATGCAGGGTAGGTTGCAATTTTAAATAGAATGACATTTGAGCGGACTCTTAACAGGTGAGATCGTTTCTACGTGGTTGCCTGAAGGACAATATTCCAAAGATTTACAATCTAAATATTTAGTTTTAATTCTAGCATGACTCT